GTGGATTCCACAGGAAGCAATTGCTTTCTGTAGGGTGTGGGCAAGAATCTTTTGTGGAAACAAAAAACAACGCTGTAATCTACGAGTGCTCCAGAGTGCTCCCGCATCAACCTAACTCCTGTCCAGAAGACTCTTGCAGAATTGGCATTCCGAGCACAAAGTGGAAATATTAAATAAACCTTTCTGCGGTGAGTTCTGAGATGAGCACGTGCGCTGTAGCGCCGACCCGCACGACGGGGGGAAGGGTGAGGGAGGAGGAGCAGGTGGTGGAGGAGGAGGAGGAGGAGCAGGAGCAGGAGCAGGAAGAGGAGGAGGGAGTATGGAACAACAACTATTATTCGCACTTCCCTTGCGTGGTGCTTGGCTGTCCGCAGCAGATCCTCACCCACGTGTTCCTTCTAACTGTCCTGTGCACGCAGGCGCTGTGAGGTACACCAGCGCTGCGTTGCACGCGGACGCTGTGGTGTAAACAGGCGCTGTGGTGTGCACCGGCGTTGCAGTGCACACAAGCCCTGTGGTGTACACGTGCGTTGTGTTGCACATGGTTGCTGCGGTGTACACATGCGCCTTGGTGTACAAAGGCGCTGTGGTGCACGAAAGCACTGTGGTGCACACAGGCGCTCGGTTGCACACGGCTGTCGCGGTGTACGCAAGCGCTGTGGTGTACACGCGCGCTGTGGTGCACGCGAGCATTGTGGTGTACACAGGCGCTGTGGACCAGATCGCCACCTACATGCGGTTTCTATTTGGCCCTGGCCATCCCTAGGCCCTAGGCATTCCAGGCCGCCGCTGGAGCGGAAAGTGACGTCATTTGGAGGGGTCGGGGCCGATGACGGTTGTTATCCCGAACATAAAATAGACAGGCTCCAAGTTCCGTTCTGTGGGTATGCGTACACCATGCCCTCCCGCGCCGTTCGACCGGGCAGCACGCTGCGCACAGGGCGGTCTTTGGACGGTTGGCCTTTATATCGAATGGCTACATGGGAAGAGGAGCATGGGAGACTAGGAGGAGGAGGAGGAGGAAGAGGAGGAGGAGGATTAGCCCAAGGGGCATCAACAATGTTGCAATAAACTCAAACAGCCTTCCTCCAAGTTCGCTTTGCATAATTAGGTCTTTGCGAGGCGTCAGCTTCACTGCGGGAAGTGCCCCATCGGAAGACCACCGCCTGAGAATCCCCAGGCGCACCAAAATGCAATTCCTGGGATATCAACGCCGCGGTTTAACATGACTGTTGCGTCATGATCCTCATCACTCGTGCTGGAAGACCGCTCCTGTGACGTATCGCCACGAATCAACGTGACTGCTGCGGCCTGACATCGTAAGCCGTGCCAGGACAACCGTTCGAATTCTTGACATTGGTGCACATTTTTATGACGAAGTCCCGCGGCGCTGAAGCAAGAGCCACACTTTGAACATGAGTGGTCTTCTATCCTTGGAACTGTTGCACAGTTTGATTATGACGATGTGCGCGGCGCCGAGCCGATATCCTAGTCACATGCTGAAAGCCAGCCGCCCTCTATCCTTGAAGTTGCTGCAAACTGTTAGTGCGACGAGTGTGCGCGACGCTACGGCGAGAGCCACATGTTGAAAGTTCGCGGCGCTATGGCGAGATCCACATTTGAAATGCGATCCACCCTTGGAACTGCTGAGCATCTTGAACACGTCTAGTGTGGGTGGTGCTAAGGCGAGAGCCACACGATAGCGGCCAGTCGCCTTCCATCCTTGAAACTGCTCCGAGCTTTTCATATGACGACTGTTTTCGGGGTTAAAGCGAGAACCTCATGTTGAAAACGGCCGGCCCTCGATTCGTGTACACGTTACACATCTCAAGATTCAGGATTACATGGTGGGGAGAATTCAGGCGAAACGCCCGGCCCGCCCTACCAATATGCCTGCGGGTGCGACAGGGAGGAGTTCTGTATACGGGAACGGGATGGAGGAGGAGGAGGAGGAGGAGGAGGAGGAAACAGAGCAGGAAGGAGCAGGAGGGAGCAGACAGGAGGAGGTGATGGTCGAGGGTGGGGGGCGAGGAGCAGGTAGAGGAGGATGAGGAGGAGGACGATGAGGAGGAGCGGGAAATTAGCAGGAAGAGGCCTTGTCGTCGCCGTCATTCTCCTCGGCCTCCTTCTCATCCGTCCCTTTTTCCTGAAGGCCTCCGCCCGCCCACCTCCGAAGACCGCCGAAGACCGCCGACGACAGCTGAGGCTCAACGAGCACTTTGCGACGCTGTCTTGGCTCAAGGCAGCGCTGTCCTACATGGTAGGTGCACAGTCATGTGTACCTCTAAGTTCGGATTTAGCAACGAACAAAGGCCACGTCCTTCTATGATCCATCTCCCATTCCCATGGCTTCTCTCCTACCCCTTGTCTTGCTTGCCATCAGGGGATGAGTTGTGGGATACCTCGGTACGTCGCCGGCGTTATCCTAGGAGTAGGGTGCTCAGCTGATGCCATCTCGTCCTCCTTCGCCTCCTCCGCGCTCTCTCGACGCCAATGCTCC